GAACAATCTCCTCACAGATGAAGAAGAGACTTTAAGCAACAGAATGAAAGAAAAGAGAGCTGAATTATTATGTAATATCAGTCCTCCTATATGGCAGTGAATGCTGGACAATCTCCTCACAGATGAAGAAGAGACTTGAAGCAACAGAAAGAAAGAAAAGAGAGCCGAACTGTTATGTAATATCAGTCCTCCTATATGGCAGTGAATGCTGGACAATCTCCTCACAGATGAAGAAGAGACTTGAAGCAACAGAAAGAAAGAAAAGAGAGCTGAACTGTTATGTAATATCAGTCCTCCTATATGGCAGTGAATGCTGGACAATCTCCTCACAGATGAAGAAGAGACTTGAAGCAACAGAAACAAAGAAAAGAGAGCTGAACTGTTATGTAATATCAGTCCTCCTATATGGCAGTGAATGCTGGACAATCTCCTCACAGATGAAGAAGAGACTTGAAGCAACAGAAACAAAGAAAAGAGAGCTGAACTGTTATGTAATATCAGTCCTCCTATATGGCAGTGAATGCTGGACAATCTCCTCACAGATGAAGAAGAGACTTGAAGCAACAGAAACAAAGAAAAGAGAGCTGAACTGTTATGTAATATCAGTCCTCCTATATGGCAGTGAATGCTGGACAATCTCCTCACAGATGAAGAAGAGACTTGAAGCAACAGAAACAAAGAAAAGAGAGCTGAACTGTTATGTAATATCAGTCCTCCTATATGGCAGTGAATGCTGGACAATCTCCTCACAGATGAAGAAGAGACTTGAAGCAACAGAAACAAAGAAAAGAGAGCTGAACTGTTATGTAATATCAGTCCTCCTATATGGCAGTGAATGCTGGACAATCCTCCTCACAGATGAAGAAGAGACTTGAAGCAACAGAAACAAAGAAAAGAGAGCTGAACTGTTATGTAATATCAGTCCTCCTATATGGCAGTGAATGCTGGACAATCTCCTCACAGATGAAGAAGAGACTTGAAGCAACAGAAACAAAGAAAAGAGAGCTGAACTGTTATGTAATATCAGTCCTCCTATATGGCAGTGAATGCTGGACAATCTCCTCACAGATGAAGAAGAGACTTGAAGCAACAGAAACAAAAAAAGAGAGCTGAACTGTTATGTAATATCAGTCCTCCTATATGGCAGTGAATGCTGGACAATCTCCCTCACAGATGAAGAAGAGACTTGAAGCAACAGAAACAAAGAAAAAGAGAGCTGAACTGTTATGTAATATCAGTCCTCCTATATGGCAGTGAATGCTGGACAATCTCCTCACAGATGAAGAAGAGACTTGAAGCAACAGAAACAAAGAAAAGAGAGCTGAACTGTTATGTAATATCAGTCCTCCTATATGGCAGTGAATGCTGGACAATCTCCTCACAGATGAAGAAGAGACTTGAAGCAACAGAAACAAAAAAAGAAATGAAAAAGAGAACTGAACTGTTATGTAATATCAGTCCTCCTATATGGCAGTGAATGCTGGACAATCTCCTCACAGATGAAGAAGAGACTTGAAGCAACAGAAACAAAAAGAAAAGATTACTGAACTGTTATGTAATATCAGTCCTCCTATATGGCAGTGAATGCTGGACAATCTCCTCACAGATGAAGAAGAGACTTGAAGCAACAGAAACAAAGAAAAGAGAGCTGAACTGTATATGTAATATGAAGTCCTCCTATATGGCAGTGAATGCTGGACAATCCTCCTATACAGATGAAGAAGAGACTTGAAGCAACAGAAACAAAGAAAAGAGAGCTGAACTGTTATGTAATATCAGTCCTCCTATATGGCAGTGAATGCTGGACAATCTCCTCACAGATGAAGAAGAGACTTGAAGCAACAGAAACAAAGAAAAAGAGAGCTGAACTGTTATGTAATATCAGTCCTCCTATATGGGAGTGAATGCTGGACAATCTCCTCACAGATGAAGAAGAGACTTGAAGCAACAGAAACAAAGAAAAGAGAGCTGAACTGTTATGTAATATCAGTCCTCCTATATGGCAGTGAATGCTGGACAATCTCCTCACAGATGAAGAAGAGACTTGAAGCAACTGAAACAAAGAAAAGAGAGCTGAACTGTTATGTAATATCACTCCTCCTATATGGCAGTGAATGCTGGACAATCTCCTCACAGATGAAGAAGAGACTTGAAGCAACAGAAACAAAGAAAAGAGAGCTGAACTGTTATGTAATATCAGTCCTCCTATATGGCAGTGAATGCTGGACAATCTCCTCACAGATGAAGAAGAGACTTGAAGCAACAGAAAGAAAGAAAAGAGAGCTGAACTGTTATGTAATATCAGTCCTCCTATATGGCAGTGAATGCTGGACAATCTCCTCACAGATCCTCACAGATGAAGAAGAGACTTGAAGCAACAGAAACAAAGAAAAGAGAGCTGAACTGTTATGTAATATCAGTCCTCCTATATGGCAGTGAATGCTGGACAATCTCCTCACAGATGAAGAAGAGACTTGAAGCAACAGAAAGAAAGAAAAGAGAGCTGAACTGTTATGTAATATCAGTCCTCCTATATGGCAGTGAATGCTGGACAATCTCCTCACAGATGAAGAAGAGACTTGAAGCAACAGAAACAAAGAAAAAGAGAGCTGAACTGTTATGTAATATCAGTCCTCCTATATGGCAGTGAATGCTGGACAATCTCCTCACAGATGAAGAAGAGACTTGAAGCAACAGAAAGAAAGAAAAGAGAGCTGAACTGTTATGTAATATCAGTCCTCCTATATGGCAGTGAATGCTGGACAATCTCCTCACAGATGAAGAAGAGACTTGAAGCAACAGAAACAAAAAAAAAAGAGAGCTGAACTGTTATGTAATATCAGTCCTCCTATATGGCAGTGAATGCTGGACAATCTCCTCACAGATGAAGAAGAGACTTGAAGCAACAGAAACAAAGAAAAGAGAGCTGAACTGTTATGTAATATCAGTCCTCCTATATGGCAGTGAATGCTGGACAATCTCCTCACAGATGAAGAAGAGACTTGAAGCAACAGAAACAAAGAAAAGAGAGCTGAACTGTTATGTAATATCAGTCCTCCTATATGGCAGTGAATGCTGGACAATCTCCTCACAGATGAAGAAGAGACTTGAAGCAACAGAAAAAAAAAAAGAGAGCTGAACTGTTATGTAATATCAGTCCTCCTATATGGCAGTGAATGCTGGACAATCTCCTCACAGATGAAGAAGAGACTTGAAGCAACAGAAACAAAGAAAAAAGAGAGCTGAACTGTTACAGTAATATCAGTCCTCCTATATGGCAGTGAATGCTGGACAATCTCCTCACAGATGAAGAAGAGACTTGAAGCAACAGAAACAAAGAAAAGAGAGCTGAACTGTTATGTAATATCACTCCTCCTATATGGCAGTGAATGCTGGACAATCTCCTCACAGATGAAGAAGAGACTTGAAGCAACAGAAACAAAGAAAAGAGAGCTGAACTGTTATGTAATATCAGTCCTCCTATATGGCAGTGAATGCTGGACAATCTCCTCACAGATGAAGAAGAGACTTGAAGCAACAGAAACAAAGAAAAGAGAGCTGAACTGTTATGTAATATCAGTCCTCCTATATGGCAGTGAATGCTGGACAATCTCCTCACAGATGAAGAAGAGACTTGAAGCAACAGAAACAAAGAAAAGAGAGCTGAACTGTTATGTAATATCAGTCCTCCTATATGGCAGTGAATGCTGGACAATCTCCTCACAGATGAAGAAGAGACTTGAAGCAACAGAAACAAAGAAAAGAGAGCTGAACTGTTATGTAATATCAGTCCTCCTATATGGCAGTGAATGCTGGACAATCACAGATCCTCAACAGATGAAGAAGAGACTTGAAGCAACAGAAACAAACTTCCTCACAAAAAAGAGAGCTGAACTGTTATGTAATATCAGTCCTCCTATATGACAGTGATTGCTGGACAATCTCCTCACAGATGAAGAAGAGACTTGAAGCAACAGAAACAAAGAAAAGAGAGCTGAACTGTTATGTAATATCACTCCTCCTATATGGCAGTGAATGCTGGACAATCTCCTCACAGATGAAGAAGAGACTTGAAGCAACAGAAACAAAGAAAAGAGAGCTGAACTGTTATGTAATATCAGTCCTCCTATATGACAGTGAATGCTGGACAATCTCCTCACAGATGAAGAAGAGACTTGAAGCAACAGAAACAAAGAAAGAGAGCTGAACTGTTATGTAATATCAGTCCTCCTATATGGCAGTGAATGCTGGACAATCTCCTCACAGATGAAGAAGAGACTTGAAGCAATGGAAACAAAGAAAAGAATGAACTGTTATGTACAATCAGTCCTCCTATATGGAGTGAATGTTGGACAAAGCTCCTCACAGATGAAGAAGAGACTTGAAGCAACAGAAACAAAGAAAAGAGAGCTGAACTGTTATGTAATATCAGTCCTCCTATATGGCAGTGAATGCTGGACAATCTCCTCACAGATGAAGAAGAGACTTGAAGCAACAGAAACAAAGAAAAAAGAGAGCTGAACTGTTATGTAATATCAGTCCTCCTATATGGCAGTGAATGCTGGACAATCTCCTCACAGATGAAGAAGAGACTTGAAGCAACAGAAACAAAGAAAAGAGAGCTGAACTGTTATGTAATATCAGTCCTCCTATATGGCAGTGAATGCTGGACAATCCTCACAGATCCAACAGAAACAGATGAAGAAGAGAACTTGAATCTCCAACAGAAACAGAAACAAAGAAAAGAGAGCTGAACTGTTATGTAATATCAGTCCTCCTATATGGCAGTGAATGATGGACAATCTCCATACAGATGAAGAAGAGACTTGAAGCAATAGAAACAAAGAAAAGAGCTGAACTTAGATAGATGAAGAAGAAAATGAAATAGGAAAAAAGAAGATGTAAATAGATATATGGATGAAAAGATAGATGAAGAAGAGAGATGAAGCAACAGAAAGAAAAAAAAGAGATTTTATAATAAATGAGATGAATGAATCTCCTCACAGATGAAGAAGAGGGAATAACAAAGAAAAGGAGAGAACTGATAGATGAAGATGGATTGAATACTCCTCACAGATGAAGAATAGACTGAAACAATAAAGAAAAGAAAATAGAAAATGAAAAGATGAGATAGATATGGCAGTGAAATTGAATAGAGATGAAGAAGAAATTGGAAGCAACAGAAACAAAGAAAAAGATGAACTGTTATATGATAGATAGATAATTTTGAATGCTGACATGATAGACAGATGAATGAAGAGACAAAGAAACAAAGATAGATATCTGAAATAAAATAGATATACAGGAAGATGAGAAGAACTGTTGATAATAGATATTAAACTCCTTAAATAGAGAGATAGATATATGAAATGAGCTGGAAATTGATAGATGAAGAAGAGATGAAGCAATGATAGAAAGAATAGATAACTGATAGAGATAATAGAAGCTATGATAGACACACACAGAAGATAGATAGATTGATACAAACACACACACACACACAGAGCACACAATATCACACTCACATATGATGATGGATAGATCCCTCACAGATGAAGAAGAGACTTGAATATAAAGAGAGCTGAACTGTTATAGATAGTCCTCCTATATGGCAGAATGAAGACAATCTGATCACAGATAGAAGAGACTTGAAAAAGAGAAACAAAGAAAATAAGCTAGATAGATAGATAGATCAGTCCTAGATAAAGAAGTGAAACTGAGATATTTCTCACAGATGAAAAATAGAGAAATACGGGATAGAAAGAAAGAATAGATAGATAAATAGATAGATAGATAGATAGATAGGCAGTGAACAAGAATCTGAGATAGATAGATAGAAGAATGGATAGTTTGAAAAAAGAAAAGAGATAGAACTGTTAAGATATTTAGATATATGGATGAAGAAGACAATCTATAGACAGATGAAGAAACTAAAGATAATGAAAGCAATAAGAAAGATGAAGATAAATATATATGAAGAAGATAGATATATATATAGATACAATAGATAGATAGAAAGATAGATAGATAGATAGATAAAGAAGAGATAGATAGATAGATAGATACTCTCCTAATAGGGAAAAGAAGAAAGAGAAGATTAAATAGAATGTAAGAATTTATAGATAATAGATAGATGGCATTGAAATAGACATTAAGATGTGAAGAAGAACTTGAAGCAACTGTCAATATCCTTATTTTCTGCCATTTTGAATTTATAGATCCAGATGAAGAAGAGAATAAATGAAACAAAGAGAGAGATAGACGACAAAGATTTTCTTTCCCATAGCATACAAAACATTTCTTTTTTGGATGAGAAAATAAATGATTAAAACGGAAAAGATAACTGAATGTTATATAATCCATTGTCCTTTAAAGTGAATGCTGTTCTCCTAAAGATGAAAAAGAGACAGGATTTCAAATGGTAAGAGAGCTGAATGATTATAGTGATAGATTCCCTATATGGATGAATTACTGGACAAATCACAGATCTTCGATATTCTTTGAATTGAAAGAAAAGAACATGCTTTGCCATCATCAATGTATCATCTTGACTGATGTAGATGAAATAGATATTTAGAAAAAAAAAAAAGAGGCTGAAATGTTATGTAATAGTTTTGACAACTGAAAGACAAAAAGGGAGAAGAAGATGAAGCAACTGAAAGAAAGAGAAAGATAATGCCGAAATGTTGCTTTTCAAATTTAGACAGTAAATTTAGTAAAGAGTTTTTTTCTGATTAATAAAAATATATTTATGTAATTTTGAATAAATAAAGAAATAGAATGTTTATATCCTTATTTTTTTTGTATATTGAAATCCTAAATTTAAGGAGAATAGATTTTGATGTAATAATATATAAAAAATAAACAAAATATTAAAGAATTATCCGATAGGTATTTCATTTCAATATATTCTTGAATCTTTGACAACAATGAAATATTTGAATAATTATATAATATATATTTAAAATATATATAAATGAGATATATTTAATATAGAATGATTTTGTCTATATGATAGAAGATGGAATATTCTCCTAACAACATCTTTTATGGAAAAATAGATTAGATGAGAAAATAGAAAAAATTTCGAATGAATTTAGAAAAGAGTCCTTTAAAGTGTTTAGTCTTCAGAATTGAGCCAGAATCAAAGAAAAAATGCCTTAAATATCACAGTCCTTTTTTTACCTGACAAATTATTCATTTTCGATATAAAGAAAGAAGTTTGAAGAACTGAATATATAAAAAAATTCATGCTGAAATTTTTCTCCAGCAATTATTAAAAATTCAATTTTTTTGAATTGTTTAAAAGGTATAAAATGAAAAATGCTCATATATGAAGAAAACGAAGATAAAACGTGAAATTCCATATTGATGACTAACATTAGATGAACCAAATAAGGTCTAAATCTGGATTGAATTTTTAAAGATTTAGATATCTGTTCGTTTTAAAGAAAGATTTTTCATCGTAGTCTTAAACAAGTTCTTTAATAAATTTTGACTGTCCTCCACGTAGTTTAAACAGAAAACTATAAGAAAACTGTCTCCATAAATTTTAAATAAGAGATGAAGATATCGTAAAATTGTAAGAAAAGAATTATCTTAAAAAGACTATTCCAAGATAGTCTTACTAAGAATAATTTGTTCGTTAGTTAAACTTTAACCTTTTAAACTAAAAAAAATTTCCATATAAGACAGTGAATCCATCGTATTTAGATTGAATTCGCAATTGAAAGAAAGAAATTCATCGGATTTTTTAAAAAAATTCGGATAATTTTAAATCGTACACAAAAAAAAAAGATTTGATATCCAAAAAGGAAAATTTCATTTTTTTAAATGAGATTTTGAAAAAGAGATAAGTGTTGAATTGAATATACAGAAAAAAATATTTATTCTTTATGAAAGTTTATGAAATTTTTGACTGAGAAGCATATTCAGATTCAAGATTTTTGTTATTAAAAAGATAGAAACTAGAAAAATATATTATTAAATGAAAGACAATTTCTAAACAATAATAATTAAAAAATGAATTAAAAAAATAATTGAATGAAAAAGAATGTTGGGAAAAAATAAATTTTAACAGTCTAATATAATTTTTATTCCGATTATTCTTTTTATAGAATGAGGTTTGAAAATTTAAGATTTGAAGAATGAATCAAAAAAAAAAGAGATATTTTCAAAGAAAAAAAGAATGTTTAGAATTTCTATTCCAAATTGGCATTAAATTGATAAATTTAATCTTTAAGATTCTGACAAATAAATCAAATAAAACGAATATTTTTAAGTTTTTTTTTACCTCTTCCTTTTTCAGAGAATGTTTTATTGGGTATTCATTTAAATGGCTTTAAATAGGGATAATCAGTGAAGGAATATTATATCAAAGAATAAATTAATGATGAAAATTTTATTCATAATCTCGGTCATCCATTTAAACAAAAAATTGAGCTTAAACGGTTTCTTGTCAATTAAGAAACAGATCCTCAGGATATTTTTTTCAGTTTTCAGGCATACTTGAAATATCCATAAAACAATGAATTTATTTTTATTGTTTTCATTGAATATAAAAATGGTGAAAACTTTATTAGAGGAAAATAACCACCACAGTAACTATTTTTTTTTACAAAGTAATTGGTGGTTTTGGGTATTAGAAAAAAAATAATTCATCTTCAAAATTACAATAAAACTTATTATCTTAATACCTGAAGGAGATAACGTGTGTTTTTTTTATCAATTTTTAATATGTCATGGCATCATCAATGATAAAAAAATATAATGATAAATATATAAAAATAAATTAATAAATATGAAAGTTTTGATCAAACAATGTTATTATTATTTAGATACTGTTCAATATTGTTTTTTTATTTCGATTTACTCATTATTTTAATAATATTTTTTTGGGAACCAGATAAAAGAAAATGAAGAAAATCTTTCTTCCAAAAGAAGGTCATTTATTTTGTCGGTTTATAGGGATTTTTGTGATTTAATATTGAAGATGTATATTTTTTTTTCATTTGAACATTGGATCCCGGCAAAGAATATTAATATTTCTATAAATAGCAATCTCAGATGAAGATATTTAAATGTCAGAAAATCTATAAAATAAACATTAAATTATTAAAGACAATGTTAATTTTATTATTATGAAATGATATATATATATATATATATATTTATATATATTATATATATATATCAATTAGCATAATACATCGATATGTCATGTCAATTTAGCTACATAAAAAAAAATTTAAGTTCATTTTCCGTCTGTTATTTCGGCAAATTCAAATGATGAGATGATTATTGAAAATTCATGTATAAAATTTAACTAATGAATAGATGACACTTAAAAAACGCCAGAATCTAGAAATGAAAAGATTTTTAAAATATAAAATTAAATAGGCATTGAATTCACTATCTGACAAAACAGACAAAAAATTTTTCATAAGCAAAAAAATGTAAATGGCAGAAAATGGAAATTAATTCAAATTTTCCCAACAATTTCATGGAAATATGCTGAAAAATAATGTTGAAAATATCTTTCCAATTTAATCAAGAATTTTTGAAAAGAAACAACACCGGACCGATTTATTTATAAATATATAAAAATATGGACGAATGGTAATGTGGCACCATTTAACGAGCAAAAAAGAAAAGAAAGAAAAAAAGAAATGGAGAGGCGAGACCGAATCGTGGATGATAAGCAGAACACACACACGGCTAAGAGACAATGGATAAGGGATATTTGATGATAACAAATGGCGAAAGGGTGTCATTACAATGACAGGGAAATTCTGAGTAAAAAAAACAAAGGATAAAGGAATCAGATATGTGTTTTGGCGACGGCTGTGTTATCTAAGGATATGAAAACAAACTATTGGTACGGGAAGGCATCTTATTATCAAACCACAGACCGACTGGCCAAAGAAAAATTCAAATGAAAATGTTATTTCGATAAGTGACGAAAAACAGGCAACTAAAGGGACTTTGGATAGATATGAAAAATTAATTGTGCAAAAGCCCACGAGTGTCCACTGACCGATTTTCTTTCGACGGAACATCTTTGGCCTGCGATAATAAAATTATGTTATCAGAAATATGTACCGAAAAAAAATGAATGGGAATTTAGAAATGTTTTCTTTTCAGAGGCGACGTTGGCCGTGTTAAAAAGACCACCCATTCTGATAATTAGCGATAAAATACCTGACGAAAACCACGTGTGAAGAACAAGAGTTATGACCGCCATTGTTCATATTGTCCTGTTTGCGGCTAGAGAAAATGATAACGGCGATTAAAGAGGAAGAAAAAGGAAAAAAAGGGATAATTTTTTTTTTTAGTTAAGCAAGATATTTTTTTTCCTGAAACAAAGCCGCGGATTCGTCCACGCCCGACTAAGACATCATTGGTCAAGTGGTGATCACGTGACGCACGAAGGAGGAGGCTGTCGCCGCCCATCCAGAGGATAGGTATGAGAAGTTGCTACGAAGAAGTGGGGAGGGCAGTTCACGCCCCTCTGAAGTATGGTGAGAAGGTGGGAGTAAGAAGGTTCCCAAAAATGAAAAAAAGTGGAAAATTCCTAACCAGAAATAAAAAGAGGTGGATATGTATTTAGAATTATCGAGGAACCCCCTGACGCCGACAAACCCACCCCGGTTTTGGTCGGCGTCCATATAAGCGAAGCCACAACGAGCAGAAATCAGTTCAGTTCAGTTCAGCAGAGTTCAGTTCCAGATGAGAGTTTGAGTTTGAGAGTCTCCAGTTGGTTCCGCCTCGCAGATAGCTGACCAAGATTCACGCAAATTCCGGACTCCTCTTCAATCCAAGAACAATTATTTTGAAGAGCGACTTAGATCCAGACCACCAAAATAAGTTTTTTTTTTCGACTTTCGTCCAAAGACACACCGAAAAACCAATTTCTTAAAGAGCAAACAACTTGAAGCGTTAAAACTCGCCTAACGGAAAAACGACGTGTCACAATCCATAGAACGGGTCGGGAGATAGATGCAGTCCTATGTATCGAACAACTAGACATAAAGTTTGTTATCTTTTTTTTTGATACTTTGAACTTTTTGAGTTTTCATTTTATTTTCTTTTATGCATATTTGTGTGGTATCACCCCCGTTGAACTCGATTTGCATTACGGCCCCAACCACTGATTGATCTCGTCTGCCTAAGATCAATTCACAACGTGGGTAGGCAGACTGGAGATCAATGCAGTTACCTTTGGTAACCAGGCGTTGGAAGCGAGTTGGGAACGACGAGGCTGATATCAAATCTAACCAGATTCCCACCCGAATCACCAAAAGGTTAGAACGTCACATTTGGGTGCCGCGACCGATACCAAGCCAGTTGGTCGTCACAGGACG